TGGTCAGTACTTTCATGCAGGCGTGGAGCTCGTCCCTCATTAGCACACTTATCTGCCGTCGCCTGGGTCCTAGTCACATCGAGAATCACATATGACCCAGTTCGGCATCGCATGCGCTGATCTGCCTGAAAGAAATGCTTTCGAAGATTGCCACATTTGGCCTTGCATTTATCACAAGGATGTCCTAGTGTAGTAGCGAGCTTTCGAGGTGTGAACTCATTTCCCCTTATGGCCACTCGTTCCCTCAATGGCATCAGACCTGTAAGGTCATCTATCACATCCACCAGGAAAGCGAATTGCTGGTTTTGAAACGATTCTGAGGGCACAAAGATCAGGTGATCTTCCGGCAGGACCGCACGCGCAGGTGTCGGGAACACCATGATGACAACCGGATCTTGAATTCCCCCCATACTGCGCCAGAGAGCCAAAGGGTCATTCCATGTGGCACTACCCCTTCTAGATGTGAAGAGGGTGACTGGGATCGACTGTATGAAACTCCCCTCAGTTAGGAGCCATGTGGAGGTTTCATCAAAGTTTTGTCCGGACCATGCTCTGTCGCTGACAAAATGATTCCAAAGCCTCCATGCCGATTCTGCTCCCTGATACAGCCTGATTGGCGTCCGAACTGGGTCGAAGCATCTTTCCTCATCAATCTCCGCTGCTGTCCTATCCCGAAGCGGTTCTTGCATCAATCCGTTGATGTCGTCTTCCCGCTCGTCAAGGGTTGCAGTGTTATCCCTGTATTTGACCTGGGTATGCTCTTGGACGGTGAGGCCGTCCTTGATTGCCAATATTGTGCCCTGACTGTGAATGTCACTGCTATCGGCACATCCCATTTGTTGTTTGACGAGGATGAGGTCCACGAGGGAGAAGTCGGGCACCAGCAGACGCTGTCTTCCACTGAATACAGCCTGCTCCTGCGCCTCGTGATTCCTAACTGAGGCAAAGACTTGCTCATACGACCCTGCATGAGGCACTCCAACCCATTCAGGTATTTGCATCACCTGTAAGTCCCTGGACAATCGCGCGGCTCTCCTCATCAGAAAGGTTCGCCCTGTGCCCAAGGTAGGGTCAGTTGTATCCCAGACATCGAATAGATGCACAACTTGATTCTGTTCAAGATGTTGGTTCTCAGTGGCTAGGACATGGATGTTTCTGAAATCTGCATGCATGTTCCCTGGCGGTTGCGGTGCAACTGCTGCTAACTTCGGCGTCTTGAAGAGGTCTGAAATTTTCCAGTATGTTCGGAAGTCTCTTGCCCAGTTGCCATCTGCTTAGTGAAGGTAGTCACATTGGCTAGTGACTTCCGCCATCGGGTGCATCCTCCAAATAGCAAGTGTAATCTGCCTCTCCCCAGAGTAGCAGGGAAGGTCAGATATCCATCTTCTGAGATCATCACGCTTGACAAAGTTTTGCGCAGCAAAATTGGCAACGTCGTGCACTGGTTTTCTGTGCTCAACTGCATATGCAAACCTTGCACTAGCGATAGTGACTGTCTGATATTCTGTGAGTTGCATGAGATTTACTGTATCAACATCCAGGGTTGCAGTGTTGTCCCTGTAGACACGTAGGCGAGCTGCTCTCCATCGAAGACACACATCGTCTGTGCCTTTCGGCTGTATGGAGATTACTTCTCCTTTCCGCCAGATTCGGTGTGACACTCGCTCATGAGCACTTCTGACAAGATGCCACATCCTCAGTGCGCATGCGCAGAAATCAGCTCTGAAGCCCTTGCTTTGATGTATTAAAACAGCAGTGGGCCCATGTGTCTCAAAGACAACAAAGTGAAAAGCGATCCCAAAAGTGTGTCGATCAGGCTGTGGTCTAGCAAGCTCAAAAGAGCAGGTACTTGGAGGCAACAAATCAGCCCAAGCCTGGCAAACGGCTTCACGGATATTGCCTAGTTGTTCCGGCATGACAGTAATGTCCCTAGCATGCTCGTTACATCCATCCGGCGGTGCGTACCAGACCTTGGCATGTAGCTGTCTTCTCTCAAAAATTACCTCATTCAGGTCCTTAGACTTCAAAATTGCTTGCAAAGACTGTTCGACATTGTGATGACTTGGTGCATGAATGTCGACAAAATCGCCCAAAACTGATTGGCCCTGTGCAACGTATCGGTCGAGGCTTCCGTTTGTCGGTAAACCTCCAGCTTCAACGGACAATAGGCCATGACCTTCTGCGTCCTGATGACGGACTGGTTCATTGTCCCTACCCTCACAAGGTCCGGAAGGGTAAGCACTATCTGATTGGAGAGGGTTTCTAGCCTCTGGTAGGGCAAACTCCTCTCTTCCAAGATCTGCCAGAGGGATGTTTTCATCTTCAGTGGATCTAGTAGCATTCTGCATCAAAATTCCATACTCATGCGGTGTGGCGTGACATGTTAGTCCCCGCATCCCTGTAACATCCGAGCTGATGGGTCTTGGCCTGCTTAGCTGGTCTTCAAATGTAGGATAGTCATCCCTTTGAGACCTGTTCGTGTTTCCCACGTTTTCGCTGGAAAGAACAGTGTCACCAGCTATCATTGTATGTTTATTGACGTTCTCATGAACATCTTGCTGCATCATGGACAACTCATCTGAAAACCAGTGAGACTGACTGTGACGCATAGTGTTCACATCATTATGGTCAGCTTGTGTCTGAGTATGGTGGATGCTGACCTGCTGTGTTATTGCCTGAAGCTCGCCACATGCATGTGCACTGACAAGGTTGAGGCACAAAACTAATCCGGTCCACGACAAGTTTCTTCGAAACCTCAGGCGAACCCCTTTCCTAATCTGGCCAACTCGAACAGAAGGCCCTATGCAATCCCTTCGAAATCTGATATACGACCTGCAGCATGCAAGGATCAAGATCACTAGGCAAATGAGGACAACAGCACAGCCTAAACCGTCCCATTTGCTTCCCCCATTCCTGCTAACTGTGCTCATCAGATTTACAAAAGTAAGAGACTCAACGGAACCAGCCAAAAAGGAAACATATGCAGCCTTCCTAAGCTCGATTCTCCTTCTCGGTCTCAGGTTATAGTAGAAACTGAGCTGCTGGATTCGGTACAGCAAAGAAGAATGCAAAAACAAACAATGCAGTACGAGCACCAGACCACAAATTCCTAGCATCCTGACATATTGAGCCTCGATCATGGCATCATCCCATATCGGCTCAAGCCAGGTGCTATTGCGCATGCGAAAAATTTGCTCGTGCTCCTTGGCCATATTCTCTTCTAGGCAGGAGATAGGACTATCAGGTCTAGAGCACAGATTCGCACACGGAAAAGACAATCCTATAGGATCAACAGTGAAGAGGTGTCCGACGGCAGCTGTCAAATGGCATGCACCTGTTCCAGCCAGCTCTTCATCCGTGGTCCATGAGTGAATCACAACAAAAGGGAAGTCGCCTGTCAGCCCTTCAAAATGGGCGCCAGAGTCACTCCACTTACTGTGCTGTTGTGTCATCGGAATGACAACGCTTTGAGAAGGCAGCTCGCAAATGTTCTGCCCTCCTCTATTGTGAAAAACATTCCACCAGAAAGCCTCCCAAGGCACAGGTAGAAAGCATATAGTAATGCCACTGCATCTGCCACCCGTCATCCAATTGAAATCGGCGCCAGTGTAGACATGTCTGCAGTAATTCCCCATTGCATCTGGACTACTTGGGCCGCAAGTGCCAGCTAGCCCAACTTGTTCAACTCTTGTGAGTCTGCTCCTCCCGGCTCTGACCTTCTGGGACTCCTTTCCCTGTCTTCGTCCAACCTGAAGGTCGGGATTTGTGAGGGATAGGTCGGCCCCGTCTTCTCTATTGCATTCAATCTCTGCTTTCTGAGATCTGAAGGACTTGCTGCAATGCGGGGCTCTGAAGGCATTGGTCCATGAGCCCCTTGCCCCACATAGGCATTGAACTGCGTCTGGAGCAAGGCTAGCATTCTCGCGGTGTTGGATTGTTCCCTTTGAGCCAGTAGAAGCTGTTCTTTTAGCTCCCTGTTGGTGGCTGCATCCATATCCATGGCATCTGCTCCCTTCATATCTCTTGTGGCAGCATCGATGTCGAGTTCTTCGATCTTGTCCATGGCCTTCTGGATTTCCAGATCGATGCCTTCCATGTCGCTCTTGAACTTCTCCTGTTCTGCATCTTGATGTTTCTTGAGCTCTTCCTTGTATAACGTCCATGCTCTGGTCTTCTCCATCTTGGCCTTCTTCAATCTGGAAATTTTGTCCACTAGCTTCTTCCTCAGATTGAGGTCCTTTTGTTGATTCTTTAAGTCTTCTTTGTCGTCGTCTTCCCCAACGATCTGCTGGACAGCTTTGACTAGACTCCCATCCGATGCATTGGATCCAGATGTTGACTTGATAGCCTCCTTTAAAGCTGTCCTTAGCTCCGAGACAGAGGGCTGCAAAGACGATGAGGACCTGAGCGAGTCGTATCCAGGAAAGATCTGCTTGTCTTCTTCTTGATCTTTGTCCTTCTTCTTTTCGCCTTTCCTCTTCGGCGGCGTTCCCCATATGTTCCAAGATCGGCCTTTGCCCTTGGAACCTTTTCCGGTGGCCTTGCCACTCCATTGCCACTTCCATGACATCACCTGAGAAGCTCTTCTCTTGAGGGCCTCTGTGCGCTGTTTAGTCCACGAGTGATGTCGATGAAGATGATGTAGTGACCTACGGAACTTGGAAGAAGTGAAATCACCTTTCGCTATGGCCGCTCGTAAGTGCAGTCTTGATCTTGATCTCAGCTTCCGCAACTTACGGCGCCAGTTAGGTGAGCGAGGTATGTTGTCAGCTTTCGTATACCAGTCCGCCACCACGGGGATTACCACCAAGCTATGGCTCCACCGGCAAGGGCGCTAGGCACGGGACAGACGACCTATCGAACCACGTGGGTTCTGGGGCTCTAAAATCGCACACTTCGTGCTCTTTGAGCCCTATTGAAAGGTCCAGGAGTAGTTAGAAAAGTGTCTCTGCAACCGATTGCGCTCCCTTTTGGATAAAGCACCAAGCATGCCAAGTATCACGTGCTGAGATGCAGCCAACCGCCATGTAGTGTGAGATCTGAGCTTTGGGAGTCTATGAATTTCGGAGGTGGAAAGTTGATCTGAGAAGTTCTCTTTGCGTCAAGAGTTGGGATGCGTGCAATCTCTGTGAAGCATTTGAAACTTCTGTGGGATTGATTCCTTATGGAATTTGACCTCCGGCTGGATGGCCTCAAGAGCATCCCAGGTATTCCCAGGTTGTGTTCCAAGCTGCTAGATTGAAATAAAACTTCAGAGTGGCATAAGGTGCTAGGCCTATGATTTGTTGGTGCTAGGATGGAAAAAATCAAAGAACACACAGAGGGTTCCCTCAGCATAACAAATTTGATGCAAATGATGCGCTGGGCCCCCCAGCATTCATATTGTGTATATACAGTATATATATATATGTATTTATACATAATCTTGGGGGGTACCATATATGGTGGCAGTCCTTAAATATAGAATGTTTCGCCCGACGACGCCTCCCCTCCCCTCTCACCAAAAAAATACATCTTGCCTGTATCCACGACATGTTCTTTGTTCATTGTGTGTGCTTGCGCGTGTGTGCAACAATTTTATGAGCAATAACCCTTTTCTATTACTTGTTCCTTCACTCGCTCACACGCGCTTAAGCACTAGCAAGACGGGGTTCTTACGCAAGAAAGACCAAAAAAAGGAAAAGTAATTTCGCAAGATCTGAAGAAAAGCGATGCTTTGCTTTCTTGAAGAAAAGCGGCTCTCAACCAACCATCGGGCTTTGCCAGATTAGCCCACTGTAAGGCATCATGTCCCTTGGCTGGGCCATAGCCTGTCGGCAAGTCCCACAGGACGGGCTCCTGCAGGTCCTGTAGCCGGAGCTTCCACGGTGGGTTTGAAAAATCTGAATGGTTCGGAAAATTGCTTTGTTCTTTTTAATTGGAATCTGATAAGAACGCGAACTTACACAAACTTACTTGGATTAGATGAAACTGTGTGCATAGATTATCCCATTCTCTGAATTGGGACCATTTCGGTCTAAAGAGTTTCTAACAAAACCGTCGCTCCCTCGGCACTCCTTGGGCTCTTCGCTCTGTTTTGCCAGCCACTGTTCCTAATAGCAAAAGAAATCTAATGGCAATGGCTTGGGGGGTGCGTGGGCCTCTTTCTCTGTCGCCTATAGGATCTATTTAAACCGTACCAGGATCTATTTAAACAAAACCAGGATCTATTTAAACTATACCAGGATCTATTTAAAACCCTACCACCAAGATCATGCCAAGATCATATGTGCAAGGCGCGAGGGGAACTGGATCCAAATGTTTGGAATTTGAATCTGAATACATGGCTACCATGTAAAGAAAGGAACAGGCAAAAAAAGGAGAAGACTAGAGTCTGAGCATGCGAAGAAAGGAACCTAAGAGCGCCTCCAACCTAGTAGCAATGGCCTCCAACCTAAGAGCGATGGCCTCCGATGGCCTCCAA